CTCACTTCTTCTATGGAGGAAGGGGGTCTTGGTCCTCTCCAGCCCACATTATTCACCCATTAAAAGGTCTTTGCATTCACAGCCTCATTATTGAGGGCTGGAGGCTTGGTGCTCTGGTCCAGGGCAGCTGTACTGAGCTGTGATATTGGAGCCAGTGATCCAACAGTGCCTCCAATGCAGAAATCCATGGGTGGGGGACCCCCCAACACTGTTAACTGGTGATAATGGGTGACTGGGGAAAACAAGAGGCACCTGGCAAGAACCAGAGTCACAGATCAGCATTTGCTTTGGAAACTTGCAGGAGAAAGCCAAAGATCACACGAGTCCCGAGGGACACATGCAGCCTGCAGAGAACATGGAGCAGCAAATCCCTGTGCCACAGTGGAAACCCACGGCCAGGCCAAGAATCATTGAGAGGCCTCGCCTGTAAACACCTCTTTATTACAATATCCCTAAGTACAAGGGAAAGAATTACAGCAGGAGAACCAAGCAAGTATCATTACTGCTGACCACAGTATGCTGCGAGCTCCTCAGACATGTTGTGCAGTGCTCCCACCAGATGCTATTTTAAGAAGAGTGCCAGTGATTTTGCCTACTGGGATGCTGTGGAATTGCTGCAGCATCAAGCAGGGCTCAGCTCCTGCTTGTGCCCGGGTCCCCTCGGGGCTGTATCTGTGACGTGGCTGCTTGGTGTAGAAGGAAATGGTTCACCAGCTCCTGCCCAGACACGGAAGGGGTTTGCAGATGCACTGTGGAATGGGATGTGTAATTAGGAGCATCGTTCCCTGCTCGGCTCAGCCCGGTGCACACAGCTGCTGGGAAATTACAGTCGTGTTTGTGTTTCACTTTGCAATGAGAGTGTTTGTCCTAAGGCAGGAGAAACACTGATCCGCCTTTGAAAGAATAACAACCAAGGGTGCTTGTGAGCATTAGTGGCAGATGTACACCCTCCTGCAGGCAGAGAAACCCCCAGATGTGGGGATGGAGCACTGTACTACTAAGTTGTCTATTAAGTAGTTAGTAGGTTGTCTGTTAAGGTTGTCTAAGTGTTCAAAGCCAGGTTGGACACAGGGGCTTGGAGAACCTGCTCTAGTGGAAGGTGTCCCTGCCCGTGGCAGGGGGTTGGAACTGAGGGAGCTTTAAGGTCTCTTCCAACCCAAACCATTCCATGATTCTATTAACTGGGGTAATACAGGGAGACTTAGGAATGAGCAATGGGCTCTAAAGCCCACCAGCAGAGCCATCCTACATGGCCTGTGCTCCTCAGCAGAGCTGTCTCATATTCAAAGATGAAAAATTGACCAGAGATTGGTCAAATGATTTGCCAGAGGCTGCACAAAAAGCTGCTGTCAGCCCAAAGGCTCATTTTCAGGTCCCACATCCTCCTGTGCCACCCTCTCATTGCCTCCCCCACTGTTTCAGCCCCTCCTTGGAATCCCACTAGGTATTTTTTTCCACCAGTGTGGAGAAAAACACTCCAAGGTCCATTCCTCTGTCACACTCCCTCCGAGGAGCTCTGATCCCGTTTAAAGTTTTCCATAGCTGAGCCCTCCCTTTCCTGAACCTCCTGAATCACTTCTTCATCCAGTTCCATCTTGACTAAATTAACTGCAAGTGAATTTGCCTTACAGGAGATTAAGTGTCCCATTGATTGAAAAATCCTGTGAAAAGTATAGCTGCTTCTCCATTCCTTCCCTAATCCCTGTGTTCCCGGCTCACCAGCGAGACATACCTTCCTTTCCTGATTTCTTTCCATTTAATCAAAATAACTTAAGGCTCAAAATGAGCTTTTCAACATCTCCTCAATGCACCCAGGGAGCCTGATGTGCCAGGGGAGGGTTATTCCCTTAAAATAGGAATTTGCTGGGTTGCAAAAAGGTTGAGAGGTCTCTTTGGGACGCTCAGGTTAGGGTGTGGGATCATCATGTGTATGGGGCAAGTGGCTGAGCTATGTCTGGGCAAAGATGCTGGTTAATACAGCCCTGGCAGGAGGAAGGGTTTGGAAAAGACAACAGCACCTTAAGGGCAACGGGTAGAAATGAACAATTTATGTAGTAGAGAATAATAAATGAAGGTAAATAGGGACGGGGTAACAGAAGCAGAACCAGAGCCAGGATGATGGTGGGATGCTGGGGATGGGCACATCGCTTTGGCTCAGTGCAGGAGCCCGGAGGCACATCCATGGATTCTGAAGGGGTGAACTCTGCAAAAGATTTCCCAGGGAAACTCTGGCTTCTTCATCACTTGATGCCTTCAAATCAGGGACGGAAGTTTTTCTAGGAGATGTGCTCCAGCCAAACACCATTTCTGGGGTTAGTTACCAAGATAACTGCCATGAATTAGTGTCTGTGACACAGGGAATGTCACCAGATCATGTTTTGACTGAGAGAAAAAAACCCAACCACTCAATCAGCTCCGAGCTGCTGTGACTTTAATTGTCTCAGGCACTGAAGCACGGTAGTGGTTTGGGTTGAGTGTTGCACATGCCACTCAAGTGTAACAAAACCCTTTAAAACACTGCTAAACAGAGATGCAGATTGAGTTTAACACCTCATTTTGATGTCTGCAGCCCGGGCAGGGCACCAGGAGCAGGCCCCAGCATGGGGGCTTTGCTTGCAAAGCAGAAACCCAGTTTCCGCTCCACTGGCTGCACTGAGGCTCCTCGAGTATTTCCACCAACAGCCTGGTTTTCCTTATTTCTCTTGTTTTTCCCAGATGAAAGTTAAAAATACATCCTCAGACATGTTGCTCTGAGCAGTCTGTGCCTTTTTGCATTTAATCCCCTCTTCTATTTTGCTTTTGTTGTCCCCATAAGGAGCACATGAAAAGGAAGGCGAGGGCGGGCTTGTTTGGTTCTTATTTGCTTTTAAAACTTCATTTATTAGCCAAGCCATGACGCAAGGGTCGGCTGCTGAAGAGGGCTTTGCTTGTTTAGCATCAGGCTGTGGCTAATGGGGAGGATTGTCACCTTCTGCGGAGATTTGGGGTGACCCAAGGGTGAGTGGGGAGGAGGAGAGCGGGGACAGAACAGGGCTCCCTGTTGCAGTTAGATGCTCTGATTGGATTTGGGTGATTTGGAATGGGATTTTTACTTGTAAGAGAAAACAACATTCAGAGCACAGATTTACAAACCACAAAGCAAAGGAAATGGTTTGCAAGCATCCTGTGAGCTGCTGAGCAGAGCAGCATCTCTGACAGCCCACTTCGGGGACCACTCACAGCATCCTTGTGACCAGCACCTTTCAAACAGCTGGAAAAGCCTCTTCCTAAGCTGCCAAGTTTCCATGAAAATTTGACAGTTTCAGCTAATTAATCACTTAAATTTAACTGGAAAGGGAAAACAGTGCCATTGTCTTTTGGGAGACAAGAATTCTGGTTTCATGAGCTTCACATTGCTGGCAGGGGCTGCAAATAGTTGGGCTGTCTTTGAGCTCCCAGCCCTGACATGAGGCTGGGAACTGGGCGAATGTGGTTTGCCCTCTTCACTGTCTCACATCTGGATGAGATGCTTTGACCTAATAACAGCTGGTGTTTAGGAATATTTATTTATGGGAAGTGTGATAGTATTAATACGTGAATGTTAATCAATGGGAAAGTCCCAGATAGGATTTCCTGCAGGAAGGGGGGTGCTCATCAAGGTGGAGCTGCTCTGAGAAGTTCATCTTAAATCCCATTTATGCTAAATCTTTGGGAATTAAGAATTAGAAAAGGAGAATGTTATCATCTGAAGTGTCTCAACCTTTATTTCTTTTCATCTTCAAGGTCTTGTTCTCTCCCCCTCCCACATTTCACATCTTCCATCTTCCCCGCATGTCTGACCATGAGCAAATGGGCATTGACAACATGGCAGAGGAAGAGGGACATGAGCAAACTCCTTGTAGAGCTCAGGGAGAAGATCCCACACTTCCCTGAGCTTCTGGATGCTGTTGAGGACACCTCCAGATGGTTATTATTTTCCCCTAATTAATATCCTCATTAGCAAAGAAGCTGTAAGACAGGAAGGATTTCCATGAGAATCCTTAGGTACTGCTTAGGATTTGGAACTTTTAGTTTGGTGAGCAATTCCATTTTTTAGTGATGGAATAAAGGAATGAGTGTTTAGTGTCTTTGTAGAAGCTGCAGCTTAAAAAATGACCATTTGTGGTCTAACAGGGAACATCTGTGCTGGGGACAGTCACTTTGCCAGCTGCTGGGGAGGGTGATGCAGAACAAAAGAGGTCCTGTTTATCGGGTGATCCGGACATGGATGGTTGCATCCACCGATAGGATTTTGACATCAAAATAAGCAATGGAGCAGATTTATTTTGGGCAAACACATTGAGAGCAGAAAATGCCAATAACTCGTGGTTGAGGGTATTTTTGAACTAGCCTGGAAGGAATGGTCAAATTCCTCAGGTCCTGCTCTCCTCCTTCTCATTTGGTTTGCTGTTTTGTGCTTGTTTGGTCAAGTCTACAAGAAAAAGCGGGGAAAAATACTTTTGATGTGCCACACACAAAAATTCCTTGTGGATCCCAGTGTGAGCTGCTGTTACTGCTATACCACCTCCTTGCTATTCATAGTACCATAGACTGGTTTGTGTTGGAAGAGACCTTAAAGCTCCTCCAGCTCCAACCCCCTGCCACAGGCAAGGACACCTTCCGCTAAAGCAGGTTGCTCCAAGCCCCATCCAAACTTGCACACTGCCAGGGATGGGGCAGCAACATTGTTATGTATTTATTATTAGGATATAAGCTCTTTATTTGGTATCTGGTGGGCATTACTTCCAAGCAGCACTGAGTCATCATCCCCAGCTTATTGCTGCTGCTGTCATGGGAAGGGGAAGCCGAATTAGTGCTTTTGCTGCTTGCACTGAGTCAGACTGGGGGAATTATGGTGTCCCCTCTCCTGACACCTCCTCAACCATGAGCCAGGGACTTGGGCTGGGAAATTCTTGTCTGTGGGTTCGTGCCGACACCTCCCATCCAGCCTCTGCACACTGATGGACCCCTCTTTCCCACAGGCTGGTGGTGGGAGCTCCCTATGAAACCAATGGCCAGCAGAAGACGGGCGATGTCTACAAGTGCCCCGTGACCAGCGACACCCACAACAACTGCACCAAACTCAACCTAGGTACCACACACTGAGGGGAACTGGGCATTTTAGCATGGTGTTTGTCATCACTGCTTTGATCTGTAAAGATGCACCCTCTTGCCCAGGTTGTCCCCAAAACCAGGAGGACTGCATGTTTTAGGAGGATTTTTAGATAAGAAATTATTTCAGGTGTTTACGTTACTCCTGCTGCTGAGCTTTAAGCAGTATTAGGGTAAAATCAAGCAGATCAGAATAAAGTAAAGTAGTTATTTATTTAACATAGCTTAAACTAGTTTATTAATTGATCAGGATGAGCTTATCAATGGATAATGGTCCCTCTAGCAAATACCCAACTGCACATGGCGATGTCTGTATTCCCTCTTCAGGGGATGCTCAGACAACATGCCCACCACAGCAATTCCCTGGGCAAAGATGTTTCCCAGGATCCAGCCCGCTCCCATAGCTTTGGTATTTGGGGAATTATCACCCAGCCCCATCAGTGCCAGCACAGGAGGAGAAACCCTGAAGGTGCTCCAATCCTGCAGACATCCCCATCCCATCTCCCTGGATGGAGAAAGAGGGCTCTTTCAGGGTTTCTTGGGCTGGTCTAGCACCAACCATGCCAATATCACAATATCAGGACATGCCCTTCCTGGATTAGGATAGTGCAACAAGTCCCCTTTGCTGCCCAGAGTGGGCCACCTGATGGGCACATCCCCATCTCAGCAGGGGAAGTGAGAGCCAGGGACTTTCTCATGGTCCTGAGGAGCATCGCTGGCGTTTGGGGCAAGTTTTTATCACTGGAGCAGTTGTTCTCACTTCATTTTTCATCCTAATGAATCTGAACTATCCTGTTTTCTACCAGAGCTGATAAAGAGAGGAGGAAATCTGGATCCTTTGCAATATTTGATTGATTGGGTCCAGATTTTTTGAAGGGTTTTTTTAACACTGTTTTCTTTTTTGCTTTTTATTTGTTATTTTCTATGAGAACATCGAGATTCTTCGGGGAAATAAATCTCTTGTGTGTGTAAATTTGAATCTGGCTAAAAAGCAATCTTTTCCCCATTGGAAATGAGTTTCAAATGAAAAGATTGGCTCCATGAGCACATCTTATTTTATTTATTCCCAATCCACTCACTTGTCTACTTGGCACAATCCACTGAGGCCATTGAGTAAAACCAGACATGGAGATGCCCTGGGGGGATGCCAAGCTGACAGTGAGCAGGCAGCAGAGATGCCCATAGTGGGGAGAAGCAGGAGCTGATACGTGACCCTGTGGTCGCAGGGTGTGTGTTACTTGGGTACCAGAGTAGGACAGCGGGTGGCAGCATCCGCAGCTGGGATGCTGGAGGATTTATGGTGTGGGATAAAGCCCCTTTTCCTCTGGCTTTGCTGTGGTGTGCATGCCCGTGGTGAGGTGAAGCAAGCTCAGGGTTGGTCTGCAGGGGAGAATTGAGGGGTTGTTGGAAGCTGCTCAGCTTCAGGCTGAGCTCCGGGTTATAGACCTCTGGTTTTGAGCCTCCCCTTAATTTAAACCTCAGCAAGAAGCTTCCAAGGGCCACAGGCAATGAAACCAACCCCCAGTTTTACCATTAACTGCCCAGTTTTCTCCCTCTTGGTTTGCTTCTCAGGCAAAACAGCAAAGGGGGAGCCCTGGGTCACAGGGAGCTGCATTACCCAGAGCCCCTGAAGTGGAGGAATGAGAGTGTTTGTGTCACAACTAAATGATACTGGCATTAACAGAAAGACAGGGCTGCCCTGGAGGCTGTTCTCAGTTTCTGGCTTGTGAAACATGGGAAATTAAAGCAATGCATAAAGATAAATCAGTCACTAAATGCCTGCTGGCCCGGCAATAGAAGATGAGATGCTAGAGCTGCTCAGAGAGGGGTTTCTTCCTAAAGATTGACAACACAAGAGATGCCATCTCTGACTCACAGCTTCATTCCCTAGAAGACTTTTCTCTTTCTTGGTTGTGGCATCTGAGGGGAAAAACCAATTCTCATCTTGATGCTCCCAAAATAAAGCAAAAGCACAAAGTCTGCAGTGTAGGCAGGCAGAGACCACTCCTGCAGCATTCAGCTATATCCCTCTTGCTCCATGGGGAGCACCATGGGGATGCAGGATGGGTGCTCAGCATCCCTGCTCAGGAGTGGTACCAACCTCACCCTCTCTCCAAAGGACGGGTAACGCTCTCCAACGTCTCTGAGCGGAAGGACAACATGCGCCTCGGCCTCAGCCTGGCCACCAACCCCAAGGACAACAGCTTTCTGGTGAGGAAGGGGGGGCTTTGGCACAGTCTGGCCTCTCTGCATGGGGAGGGTGCCCCAAGGTGGATGTACAACATAGTGTAAAACTAGATCCGTGTACACCAGCATGTAAAGGCACGCAAAACCCAGACGCATGCATGTCAGCATGTAAATGAATGCAAATACACCTCTCTGTGTATTTATACACATGCTGCATGGACTGCAGGGCTCAGAAACCTGCTCTTCCATGGGGAAGAAGATGCCAAAAGAGAGAACAGCCTTACAAAGCAGCAATTATAAAGTGGCAGTTCCAAACCCATCCGTGATGCTTTATTTTCCTCCCCAGGCCTGCAGCCCTCTCTGGTCCCACGAGTGCGGGAGCTCCTACTACACCACAGGGATGTGCTCCCGGGTCAACTCCAACTTCAGGTTCTCCAAGACAGTGGCTCCGGCTCTGCAGAGTACGAGAATCAGTGTGCCCTGCAGCTCTAACCCCGCCTTTGAAGCCCGAGGGGATTTCTGTTCTCTAATCTCTTCAGCCCCATTGAGAAAACAAAGAGATGTCAGTGTTTAAGAGGAGGCGAGAGAGCAGAGGAAATGATTGCAGGGAAGTGATTCAAAGGGGGTTACATACACAGACATCTGGTAAACATTTTCTTTTTGACTGACACCCGGGGAAGACAAAAAACACCTTCTTCTTCCAAAGCTAGAAATAAAAGCATCCAGAATATTTTATCAGCGCAGCTAGGAAGGCAAAATAGGGAAA